GCTGGCGATGGATGCATGCGAGCACTTCTCAACACTGGCGTCCGTGTGACTTCCCTCCTTCGTGCTCAATGGATCAACAAAGCACGCACTGGCCGGTTAGGGGTTCTGCCGGGCTTTGGGTGTATTGTTGAGGGCTTCATCGCACACATCTCGTACAAGCCAGGCGAGGATTCGGAGTCAGAAGATGTTGGCGAGGAGGCTTCAGCATCACTCAACACTCCAAACAGGCAAACTAGCATCACAGAGCAACCAAGAAGTGTCAGCTCATGACATGAGGTTTCGAAGCGCAAAGCACAGAAACAGGCAGCAGTATACTGGGCATTCGGAAACAGCCAACAAGGATATTCGGGAGTACAAGGTCTGGACGATCAAGTAGCAGGCTCCTTGTTTGTGGGGTGATACCCAGCTCCAGCCTAATGTCGATAACGTCAAATGAGATTGTTTTTCAGTCAGTATGGCTACACCGTCTGGTGACGCACGTACTTGATGGGCTGGCTCTCTTGTCCCCGCGAGTCTGCACCCCTCGACCATCCTGTGACTACCTTACGAAGCCGCAATAGGAGACAACCTTTGGACCAGGCTAAGTACCTTCTTGGGATGAGGGTCCTATGTAGGGGCTTTTACTTGCGGATTGTTGAGGCTTTGCGAATCGATGGATTTGCCCACTTGACTCTCTATTCGGAATCATGCAAGACCAAATTTGGGAATGAGCCGGCATGAGAGATTCCACACCTGTTTGCAACTGTCTATGCATTTGCTGGGGCTCGTGCAAAGTGCCAGATGGTTGGCTCAAATTTCAAACGCTTCTTGTTGTTTACATTCCCAGCGCAGTATCTTCAGTCTGTGTACAAGATCAAAGAATGTGCTTGTTCAAGGGTTGTGTCTGCTTGGCCGTTGGAACAAAATGGAGAGAGAGAACATGTCGTGCTTCATAGTGTCACAGTGGAATCAGAAAGAGTGTACTTTTGACCTGATGATTCACATCCAAAACGATGGGAGATGCGCTTGCAAATGGCACCTGCTGTTCCCGCATTGGGGCTCACTCCAGCCACCGGCTTATCGAAACTTTGACAGATATGCTGAGGGGGGGCAGTGGGGAAGGGGGGCGAGCACCCGCGCGCACGGACCGTGAGAGCAATGGGAGACACCAATGACACACTCGAAACCGCTACTACCCTATGCAGGGCTTTTGAAACTGTGCCTCCCAAACAGCACCTCAGCTGTTTGACAAAACTTCAATACGTCTCCATCTGTGCTGCAGGCGTCCGACCGCACGAATCTGGAAGTGGCAACATATGTACACTTCAAGAAGACTGGAGCCTTCAGCACAAAGTATCACAAAGTCACCGACGCAGTCTAGAATGCCAAACGTGTCGTTCAAGAACAGCTCCAGCAGGCCTTCCACCCTCCAGCTCCGACCACCCTGTCATCCTGCCACACATGCCGGGACTGAGATGCCAATGATGCTACTGGGGACGTCGTTCAAGGGGGCCTGGCCGAACGTGTCCGCGTTGTGGTGGTCGATGTCATTCTCCCGGCTCCACCGCTCCTGGCACAAGATGTACGTGACCGGAGCTGAGGTCCGTGTCTCGCAGACTCTCCTACAGTCTGTTGCATGTGCAGCAGATTGCAGCCGCATGTCACATTGGTGTACCAGCTGGGACTCACAACTCGGTTGTGACGAAACCTCAATCGCGCGAATGATGCGCTCGTCGTCGTGGAAGTGGAGCACCTGCGATTCACGAGAGGCCTAAAACAAGCTGTGAACTAAGCTTGGAGACTGGGCACAACCAAATGTTAGATGCTTGCAATCGGCTTGTCCCAACATTTGAATCATGTGCTGGAATCTGGCTTGCGACAGCCACTTGCCCGGCTAGGAGAGCCCTTTCACCAATGGAATGTGCGCAGCTGGGCAATGACCGATCCTTACACTCGATCTACATAAGCAGAAATCCTGTTTTGCAAACACGAGTTGCTGACTGAACCGTCGCCCCACCGCTCCTGAAACCCCAGTCTTTTATCAGAATCGAGGATTTTGCCGACCTCTCCTCAATTCCAAATCTCTAAATCTTCGCCTCTGAAGACATCCCTCATCCCTTCTAGTGGCCTTATAGTAGGCTTATCGTAACGTTATAGTCCTACGCCTGGACAGAATGATCGAGGATCTGAGGCTCCCACGGTCTTTGGACGCCTGGCCGACGCTGTATGCGGGGCGGTCGTGCGACGAGGCGGTGGGTTTAGGGGTACTTTCGGGTCTGCGCTAGGAAACGTGACATGATGTGACCTCTCAAACCCTAGCCTCACCAACAAACTCCCACACCTAGATGCATATTTCAAGTCGCAAAACAAACAGCCTTCAAGTAGTAAACTTCGTCAGGATAATCGAGCTCATTCACTCCTGATATGAGTTTCAACAAAAATTCTCACGACTGTCACTGCAACACTATGGAAGTCATCCAAGGACCAGCATCGTCGAACATCATCAAACCATCATCGCTTGCTCGAACATTCTCCACGCCTTCACTGTCAACTTTTTAGAGGTTATTGTGGCCATATATGAGGACATGCCACCGAAGTGTATCAACTCCGTAAACCCCTTCGCCGAGCCACCGGTCGAAGAGGCGTGGCACCAAGTAGTGGCCCGGGCCTGCGCCGGACAGCAGTCTTTGGCAAACTTCGCTAGCATGCAGCAGCCTACTGCAAACGATATTTGGTACAACTGAGCGGAGTCTGCTTCGTGGCATAGCCAATGAGTGTTCCGCAGCTTCAACTGGCCATGTCCCCTATTCTGACATGCTACAATTTGGGTACCACCCCTGACAAGTCCTGGCACGGCGTGCTTGGGACAACGGCCTCGGATCGACATCGAGAAGTTGACAACGACAGCTCAGCACGTTCACGACGGTCAGAATCAAAGTCAAGTCTTCATGGGGTTTTCCGAAAATGAGGGGTACCTTGTTTTTCGGGGGTACTATATTAGGGTCCCCTATTTTCGGAAACCCTTAGAGCCATTCTGACCTTCGGACTTAAGGAAAACGACGTAGCATGAGATAGCATGAGGACAAGGACCGCAGGCATCATGTTCATTTGCGTGAAATTCCACCCCGAAGCACAAGTTTCTTGTCTAATGAAAGGATCTTTGATCTTGATAACCTACACCGTGGACAAATGGCTCACGCAACTCACCAAAGGCATACTAAAAAAAAACTAAAAGGATGTAAACTAGGTCACAACGTACCATCGCACACTATAGAGCTTCGGTGTGATATAAGGGTCGTATTGAGAGGCAACGGCAGAGCTCAGAACCACCTGGACCAGCAGCTGGATGGGGCTTCCGCAGCGAAATGGTAATGAAATGCATGTCTGTGCCTGAGCAAAGCTGGTACTTAGGCCCCGTTCCAAGGCCCTGGCTTGGGAAGCGCGCTGCTCCACTGCCGAATCCCACCTGTGTGGCATCACATGGCAAAGCTTCTGTCAAGCCCGAAACGCTCCGAACCCAAGGTGAAACCGGGCGCATGCAAGCCCCGCTCTCGCAAGCAAAACACGCTTGCGCGCGGCGAATTTCCACAGCACAGGACAGGCTTAAGATGTGCTCATCTGCCGAACCCAAAAGGTGACACCGGGCGCATGCAAGCCCCGCTATCGCAAGCAAAACACGCTTACGCGCGGCGAATTTCCACCAGGACAAGCTTAAGACTTTCGGAGGTCCTGTAGAGTTATTTCCTAGACGAAGCAACTCGAGTGGGTGGTACTGGAATCACACTTGAAAGACTAGCCATCTTTGAAAACCGCGACGTCTGTACAAGCTCCCCTTCTTCATGCAGCCACCGCTATCGTGGGCAAAACACGCCCACGCGCGGCGAATTGAGGACCACCTGAGCGAGCCAGAGGTTTACCGAGATTGAATGGGTTGATTCGGGGGTTCGGGAATCGGGCTACGTGAAATCATGTTTTCGTCCCATGTCGTCCCACAGGTTCAGCCGCCGATCGGAGCTCGTGTCTTCATGCAGTCCTGAAGTGCTCCATGCCCTGTGTGTTGTCCTGCCTTGGTCTTCGGCGCCATTGTGAAGTCGCACAGCACAGAGGGTCAAGCGCACAACGCAAGTGAGCTGAAACAGCTGCATTCGCGCAGGTGTCCTTTGCGGCGAAACAGGAAATCAGCAGGGGGATTTGCGATAATCGTTGAGGCGACTTCTCCAAGAAAACATGATAGAGGCAACAAGCTGGAGCCGCCTCTTCTTTGTACCGAGCTCGGTGGGAGTCCAAGCTCCATGTTGGACCTGACCTTTCAATTCTCAAAGCTGCGGCTCGCAAGCATTGAACTTTTCCTCGGACTACCCCAATGCTGTCACGAGGCCATAGTCACCCGACGCAGTCTGCAAGACTGAGTCGTGCCCACACGTCACAGGCCGAAGCAAACGCCGGCTTCAGGAAGCACACAGACTAATTGCATGCACAGATGTGCAGGATGGTTCACGTGCGGTTGCTTTTGCCTGGATGGGCCCCAATCCAGGATCCAGCGGGTTCTATACGGAAGGTATCCTGGCAAAAACCGAATTAACTCTTGTCGAGACATGCGCACATCTCAAGTGCATCAATTCACGATCCGTCGTCAAACCGCAAGCTCTTGCGCCTGAGCGAGTGGTCAGGATCCGCCCTAATGAAACTTCGGTTGACATGTCTCACCTCGTGACTCGAAACATGATGTGCGGCAACACCCTGCAGGAATTGAAGGATTGACGCGATCAAGATGCTGCTATTGAGTCTTATCTAGGGCCGCGTCTGTCCAGCGCGACGCTGTGCTTGCTTACGGCCTGGGCCAGCATGGACGGCTTCCACACCGCCATAGCACACTCATCAACATCCATGAAGCCATGTCGCATTAGCACAACGCGAGCTGGCACGAGGAAACACGGACCACTCAACTGCAACAGTCAGGACATGTCACGACTTTCCAGTAGACCAGAGCTCGTGAAGGCGAGGGCATCTCGGACTGGTCATCATCGCGTGCTCCTGTCACAAATCCGAGCCAAGCTCACGAAGGATGCTTCTTCGAGAACTAGAGGACATGCACCGCATCCTGATGAATATGCAATGGCAATGGCAAGTCTCCCTTTAATTGTGACGAACGGCACTGTCGAACCCAACCCAACATGGATCCTCACCGCAGCGACTAAAGTCTTAAGATGTGTTGAGACATTCATTGTCAAGAGGTGCAAGGCCGCAAAGGGCGCATGGCGTGGCAAGCATCATCGGCACTCCCTCAAGCCGGGTTTAGTGAAGGCTTTGGGTTTCGAGCTTATGGACTTGTAGCGTAGCTCAGGAAGGGCGAATTAGGCAAGGAGGTGAGGATGCTCCACAGGTGCAAGGCCTTGCAGCAGAATTATCGTCACTACTATGACATCACTCCCCGCCCACTCAAAGGCCCACCTCGCCAGAACTGGAGTGCCTCTACACCCGTCAGCAACCCAAACAATCCCAAATGCCTACAGCCTGTATCACTCGACCCCCGATCCTCGGCAGAGTACGAATCACGCACGATGCTCTGCTGGGCAGGTCCTGTCATGTGGCAGCTGGGCAACATCAGTAAGGATTCACTTGACATTCTCTCACATGCTGCTTCTTTGTGCCGGTCTGGAATTTTTGCAAAAAGCCGCACAGGCCTCACGATTCTGCTCAACGACATGGCACAAGACTCTAAGTTAGGCTGAAGGGCTTGGGGCAGCTCTCACATGACCTTGTCTTCGGCAGCTACCTCCAAAACTCACCGTCCTGAAGTCATGAGATCTGGCGGCCGCACTTTCAGAACGATGCTGACTTGCCGCGCACGAAATTTGTCGTCAGGCATTTGCCTCACCTGCAGATAACGACACGCGGCCAAGCACGCCCCCTGTGAAGCCCTCAGGGAATGCTTCCGCGCCTGGAACGCAACCCGCTTCCCGATGACCTTCGAAGAACTGGGAACTGCCACGCTATGAATCGAATCCTCGCAGCAACGAAGCTCAGCATGCTCATGCCTCATCCAAACGAGTGCCCGTCGGCTCAGCTGTCGCCTCCCGCAACTCCTTCCTTGGACCAACAAGGAAGAATCGACCCACAAGCCCAGAGGCAACGATTTCAACGATGGGTGTCAAAACCCGCTGCTGAGTGGCTGGCTTCCAGAAGAATACATCATCACTGAAGCCGTCCGCGTCTATGAAGCCAAAGCCCTGGCGAGCATACACAAAGTTCAATGCTTATACATATGTATATATATATATATGTATACATGTGTGTGTATGTATGTTATATAAACATAGATGCGATCTATCTCAATCTACACATGTCTATACCTCTGTATACATCTTTGACTGTGCTGTGTATTTATCTAACTGCATATAAATATACATGTTTGTGTATATATATACACATACATAGATGTACATGAAATAATCTAACTCTGGGCCAATACATATGTGTGCATATGTGTATATATATGTATATATATATATATGTATATATATATATATACGTATGATAAACATATATATACACACGCATACTTGTACACACATACATACATACATACATACCTACGTAAGTACACACACATGCAGCTACATACATGCATGCATACATACATACATATGTATATACACACACCTACATACACATACACACATACGTACACACATGCGTACATGCATGCATACATACATGCATGCATGCATGCACACATTGACACATACACACATACACGCATACACGCATACACGCAAACACACACACACACATACACACGCATACACACTTATACATATCTTATACATACATACATACATACATACATAAATACATGATTGATTCATCCCGAGATGACCTTCTTCGCGAAAAAAATAACTTTCGCAACATCATCGCGGAACTTTCGCGGAGGCCGTATTAACATACCTTTGCAAGTCAGAAGCCTGAATTATAAGCTACAAGCTTCCCGATGGCAAGAGTTTAGTGGCAGTACACTGAAGAGCTTCTGGCAGGCTTCCTAGTGGTTTCAGGGCTGCGCAAAACCTACAATAGTTGGAAACGGCTGGTTAAGGCCGTCTTAAGGGTTGGATTTTAAGGCCGCCGTCCTAGGGCCTTAGTTTTGAGATTCTTGGCGAAGCCTCCTGAAAGATTCTCGACTGCAAAGCTTTAGGGTGCAAAATTGATTGCAAGTTAAACCCCTTCCTAAAAGATGCCCCTTTAGCCAGCCAATCGCGAAATTCAACGTCACTTACGCGACACTTAAGCGCTAAACCCTGTATGGGAACCAGTTTTTTGGGTTTGCCACTACTTACACTTAGGATCGACGGCGCTAGTAGTAGTAACACTAGTTGCAGTAGGACTAGTAGTAGTAGTAGTAGTAGTAGTAGTAGCAGTAGTAGTAGTAGTCGTGGTAGTAGTGGTAGTAGTGGTAGCAGTAGTAGTAGTAGTAGCAGCAGGAGTAGTAGTAGAAGTAGTAGAAGTAGTAGTAGTAGTAGTAGTAGTAGTAGTAGTAGTAAGTGAGTAATAGTAGTGGTAGTAGTAGTAGTTGTTGTTGTGGTAGTGGCAGTAGCAGTAATCGTAATAGTAATAATAGCAACGACAGCAACAACATAGCAAATTAGTCCTAATCCTGTAGTAAACATAATAACCATAGTGATCTTGGTAATATAAAAGTAGTCATCGTAACAGTGATAACAATATTAGCCATAACAATGGCAAGACAAACAGTAACAGTAATAGTCACAGTCATAGTAGTACTAGTAAGAGTGACAGTAACAGTAAGCCTAATAGTAATAGCAAGGCAAAAAGGCTAAACGTATAACTTTCGCAAAAAAAAAAGTATCTTTAGTGGCACCATCGCGGAACTTTGGCGAAGGCATATTTGGCTGTGCAGTTGGCGTTTTATATAAACTATGGTTCAAGGAGCTACCTACCACATACAAACATTCACACATACCCACCTACCTACCCACCTACCTACATGCACACACATACACACACATACACAAAAAACAAATACATACATACATCATACTACATACGTACATACATACATACCACGCGCACATACACACACACACACACGCACGCATACACACACACAGAGACACGCACACACACACACACACACACACACGCACATGCACGTACATACACACTTGTACATACATACATACACAGATACATACCTACATACCTACCGACATCCACACACACACACACACACATTCACAAATACATACATATATACATGCGTACGCACGTGTATACATACATCCTTACTTAATTACTTACTTACTTGTGCATATGTACATACAAACTTGTATATATATATATATATATATATATATATGCTTATATTTATATTTATATATAATACTATAATCTCCTGCATCTTGCTTATGGCTTGGACTGATATTATGGTCTGGACTGATGCATACTACATTACAACTCGCGGTGCCATAACAACTAAAGCAAACCAAAGCACGAAGCTCGGCTGCACCTTGTTCGCGTCGAAGGAGCGGATGGTGCCGAAATGGAGCCTGAGCCTTGCCAAGTTCTTTCGGTCCCGACAGGAACAAACACGATTCTGAAGCCTGCACAGGCTTGGCAGCTATGAAGTATGCAACCTTTCAATGGCTCGCATCGTGCCCATTCAGCGTCATCTCCAATTTAGCTCCCAGTTGCAGGGAGGCCAGACTTGCCGAAACGACCCATGACAACACGCAACAGCACTGTGTGATGAGAGCCGTGGGACAGTTCACAAAAATGAGAATATGGCAATGAAAAATGCATGCAATCTGAGTGCATTGCTGCAGGCCACCTGAACGCAGACTCATCTCTGGCTCCACCTCTGTGGGCCACTCAGGACATAGTCACACAAGGTCAAGATCATCCTAAGGTAGTTGCCCCATATTCTTCCACGTTAGCTGCAAGTCAGACCACCAGACAACTACAAGTAGAAACTTGAATTTCGGCAAACGCGCTCCTGCCCTTTAGTCAGCTTCGAACATTGCTGGGGATTCCGACTTTTTCTGGCTCTTGCTTTGGCCGCGGCCTGGCCGGTGATCCGTGTGGCTGGAAACCTGCTGCATCAAATCCTGACGTACCAAACCGGTAGTATTAAGCTGAAGCGTCAAAATGAAGCAGCCGGTGACATGATGGAGACATGTTCCGATTTGTGCATCGAGAAAGCATCAACGTACAATGACCAGCCAACGGCGAGTATGATTAAGACAATCTAGATCGCCGTTGCTGATGATGATGCACAATGGGCAACAATGATGATGGTGACGATCCGCAGGCTCATTCGTAATGCGAACATGAAAAACTAATACCAATGTGTTTACCCCTTATCGTTTGTACCGCTATCTTCTTTGATGAACATGCCCTGCTGCTGCCATTGCTGCTGCCGCAGCTACAAACAACAGCCACTGCTAGACTGCCAGAATGCCTCCTGCAACTACGTCCCCTCCACAATCCGACCCTGAACCCTGACGTCCGGAACTCGTTCCAGCAAAAACAGCGAAACTTCTCTCAGCCCAACTGTTAGAGGCTCTCGGCCTTGACACTTGGGTCTCTCCCGAAGCCGAAGGGCCTTGAAGCCGTGTTTAGGGCCGCGGGGCCTACGCCGTGCCCTGAAGCTGCACACACTTCAGCCGCGAAATCGCAGGAGTTGGTACTTACAGTAGGTTTCGGATTGAGACCTGAAGCCCCTTTCTGAGATCTGCAACCCTTCCCGTAAAATGCCAGCTTGGCTGGTCCAGCGCTCGGGAAACCATCTCGGCTTCCGCTGGCGGCAGCCTGTGCTCCCGAGTTTTAAGCGGTGGCCGCTTTCAGGGCTTGAGGGCTTTAAAGGTTGGGGGCTTAGGGTTTCAGTAACGCGCGGTTCAAGGATCTCGGAGTCTTCGGTCGATCTACAAGTAGGTGAAGGGTCCAGCTTGAGGCTTCGCGAGCAATCTCTTGGGTTTATCTTACACCGCTTTAAAGCTTTTGTTTCAGCGCAGGACCACAGGGTCTTTCTCCCAGCATCTGGCGGGAGCTTCGGAGTGGCAAGCAAAAGTCAGATCCATGTTGCTCGCTTGTTTGGGGCGTAGACGGCTTCGCGCTCAGGATTGTGTTTCGTGTAGATTAGAATTTAGAAGTATCTAACCCTAATCCCCTATTCCCTGTAGCCCCAAGATCCCCAAACCCTAAACGCGGAGCACTGAGTTTGCATGCCACTTGGATGCTGAGGCTTATATCGCTCTTCTTCTTTCTAGGGCTGGGGGTTTCAGCTGAACAAAGTTCGTGCTTTTCGGCGCCGGGTCCAACATGCTCAGAGTCGCATCCAACACCCCAAGTTCTTGCATCTGGAAGCCTGAAAGAAAAGCCTCACCCTGACCTGGCTGATTGAGGCATGCAGCGTCGGCTAGCACTTAGAGGTTGCGAAGCTCAGCGCTTCGGGACAGGATCCAGCATGATCCAGCCTCTTTCGGGAACTGCGCGAGGGCCGCGAAGGCGTTCCATCACTGGGCACCTTCGGCTCAGAGAAGCAAACATAACCGCTCTCTCTAGCAGCAACGCCTCCTCCCGCTCCTCCTGCTCCTCCTGTTCCTCCTGCTCCTCCTCCTCCACCTCCTCCGCCTCCTCCCCCTCGCTTCTGATTTTTGCTCTTTTGACTTTCTGCTCCTCGTCAGCATCCCTTCTGAGTCACTGCTGTACTGTCGAAAATGTGGCTTCTGGTTCTCGAATTCTTCGTACAAGTATGCTTCTGATGATGCTGATTGATCCTAATTAAAGACACAATTATGCCATTGTGATGCTGACGGTGATGTCGCCGATGGTTCTGATGATGCAATGATGCTGATGTTGGCGATGGCGACGGTCATGCTGACGAGCATATCAGTAAGATCGGTCAGCATTAAAGCCAGTCTTATCCAGTCTTGTTTTTTCTGCCATCAAACCAGATACTTAAGCTACTCTCCCAAGCTGAGCACTTGAGGCTCAATTCTTCGGGTTCTGCCGAATAGACATGATTCTATGATTGGGTGGCGCCTGTAGCGTCTGTCGAAACATGCCACTTTGTGCATGTCAAATTGCCGCCTCCCGCGCTTGCTCCGCCATGTCGCTCGACAGGCACCGGGTGTCCAACCCAACACAGCAGGTCTGCACGGGCTATCTTCGGATTCAACTTGCCTGGATTGATGGTTTTCGGGTTCCAGCACCAAGACTCAGGATGCCTTCATGCTGTTCACTTTTCGGCATGTCCACATCTCCTCTCTGCTGCAACAAGACGGTCTCGCTCCGAGCACTTTAGTTTCTACGACGGTTGAGCTTCAAAATCTCCTACAGCGAAGCTTGAGTGGCGCTTTGGAAATATTCAGCTGCTGACTCGAGCCAGAGGCACACGAAGCACTGAGCCTCGAAGCCGTTCACTGCCAATCGTTGTGGCCGCATCTCACAATGTCTTCGATGATCCATGCGGAATTTTGCTGCTACACATGCTGTTCCACAACTGCAAAGCGAAGGCGCACTGCACGCTCCCCTCCGACTTTTGCGCTTGTGCATTCCCGTTCGGAATGTTCAGCTTACAGCTCCATAGTCCCTTCCCCTACAATGCTAGCAGCAAGTAAGGACCTAAGGAGATGAATCAACGAATAAAAAGCACTGATCATGTTTAGCACTCTCTCACAACTGCAAACATCCTGTAGGTCTTCGGCTATCGAGGAGAAGCGACCAAGGCTCTGTGGGTGCGCACCTGTGCAGACTGTACCAAAAGCGCACTGTCGAGACTCCCTGCCACCTTGCCCTGGACGGCTACTGTAGTTGTCATCTTGGCAACTTAGCTGCGATGCGTCAGAGCGCTGGGCGAATCCCGGGTCGAGTCCACTGACAGCCGAGACTTCTGCCCTGGCCGCCGAAGTGAACTAAAATCGGGGGGGGACTTGGTGCCGTCGACCAATTTCATGGTCAAGACCCTTCTGTACGTTTGGGGAGCCTTGGTGTCCTGCGCTTTCCCTGGGACGGTCTTTTACGTCCGGGGCTTGCAGGGCTCAGGGGGTCATTCGGTGGCCAGGGGCTTATGGGCCACGGTCAAGTCGCCCCTCTTCGATCGGAAAGCGCCGTTGAAGGGCAGCATCAGCAAGCCGGTGAAAGTGGCCAGTCCCACCACCATGGCGGCCCACAGGGCGCACTTGGCCAAAGTGGGATTCAAGGCCTGGGGAGGGAAGCTCGAGGAATCCGGGACGGTCTGCTGCCGGTAAAGCCCTGCTAGGGCCCAGACTGCAACAAGGGACCATGCGAAATCGCTACGCACGGAAGCGACAATGATGGCGATGGAAGCAACAAATGCAACCACCAGGACTGCAGCTCCCGGGGTTCCTGCGACCCCATACACATCCTTCCAGCCAAGCTCCCCAAGAAACGTGAATTTGTTCGCAGCCGTCGCCACAAGAACCCAGCTGGCATTGCATGCAATGCCAGCGGCATAAACAACCCACTGAACGAACGAATCCACGGTCATGGTGTTCAGGTCTACATACACCAAGAAGAAAAATGCGAGGTAAAGGATGATGACCAAAAGCGCCCAACCAAAGAGCAGATTTACATAGATAGGCAGCCAAATGGCATTCAGGGAGAATGCAAAAACGAGGCGCCAACGAACCGAAAGACCCGTCAAGCAGCAACTTTGCTGAAGAAGACTCTCAATCCTGTCTGGGGCTGAACATTGCATGACGACAAGCAGGAGCTCCAGAGTATAGATCACAGCCCAAACCTGAAGGAGTCTTCACTACGCCGTTTGGGATGTGGCTTTTTCTCTGAATTATAAGGTTGGGCTACAGAGTCCGAAACATACAAAATCTGCCCTACAAGCGCCGAGAAGCTGCGAAAGTTAACCCGTCTGGGGTGACGTACGTCGGAAACTGGTCGGAGATCTCGCCGATCGACTGGCCAGAAAGAACCCCGGAGGCTGCTAAACCATTGACTACTAGGCTGGCGATGTAGGAGAGCACCACGAATGTCTTTTCCAGCATAACCATGCTTGCTCAGGCTAGTGTCCCCAGGCTCCAAAACCGAAAGCCCAAACGGCTGCCGAACGACATAAAGCATCTAATTCATCATCCAGCCGTCCCCCCGTGCTGTGACGCTCGGGGAACTAGACCGAGGCAATGCCAACTAGGTTATGGCGGCTTTCGCGCGAAGAGCTTTTTCTCGCGCCATCATCAAACCGAAATGGATGGCAGGCAAAAGCCGCACCCCTTGCCAGGAATGATGAGATCCAGGATCTGCCGTGAGACCTTCTTCGCGCAGTCAGGGAGTCAAGCACAAAATCAAGCGGCAGCATAGCCATCGACCGTGAGCGGACAAGAAGGCACTGATACTGGGATCCCAACCGGGCCACCGTCGAAATCTTCCGCATTTCTGAGGTCTAGAAGACCTAGACCTGCAGTGTCCGGGGTAGAGCATAGACGGGACGACCAGCCCACGCACTTCTCTTGCGCCTGCGAGCCGTTCAACACGATCTGCACCGGAGTCGAGGGCACCCAGGCGGCGCGCTCCATGATCGGGTAAGAGCCTCAGCAGATCAGACCCGAGAAGCACTGACAGACTCCACGCCGATAAAACCACAGGAAGAGCATTGCCTGGGATATGATATCATGGATCCGCCGTGCGGGTTGCTACGCGAAAAAGAGTGCTGCAGCGCATCTTTTTCACGAAAATTGCGAACGGAACGGAATCCGGCGGGCCATCACTTCGCTTGCTTCTTCGCTTCCTTGGCGGAGGCTATCAGGTTCCTGGCCTCCTTGTAAGAGATCGCCTGGAGGTCACAGGTGCTTCGCAGCCACTTGCAACCCAGAACTTGCGACATCCTACGACTCCCCACCTGTCCATGGCTGTTCTTCACCCAATTCCGCAGCTGCTCCTCGGGATTCAGCATGGTGGAAAGCACCGCTTCGGCTGCGGGTCGTGCGGGATCAGGATCGTGACTCACATGAGCATGAAGCGTGATGATGCGAATCATGGCGGCTGCCCAGTGGCTGGCGTGGGAGTTTGCCCGAAGTGGGCCGTGTACGCTGCCACCATGTCCTGTGCAGTGCGAAACACGCACGACGCCAGCACTGCGCCGCCAGCCGCGAAGTCCCCCAAACCCCGCTACCTCGTTCTTGAGGATCATCCGGCCGTCTGCAGCTCGGGGAAGAAGTGCCTCGCCATTCCGGATCACTACAATGGCTGTGTCTGCGTCCTCAGAGAGCAAAGCTACATGAGCCTCGAGGAGACTGCTGCGACCAATCCGGAAGGAAGCTCAAATTCAAAGGCGTCGAAAGGAGTGATAAGGAACCCAGCTCCAATCTAAAAGGGATGACGAAAGAAGACCCTCAGGCTCACTGTGAGATGCACCGCCGCTCAACCCTAAAAGCACAGACAACATCACCATTTCCTTGAATCCCGCCTCTCCATAGAGATACAGCCAGCCAGGCCCACTTGCACGATGTGGTCGCGGTAGCTCTGAGAGGGTTGTGGCAAGCTTTCGCAGAACTCGGAGACGTGAAGCTTGGGCATTAGCATGTTAGCATGCATCAGCCTCCAAACCCGCAAAGCCCTGGGTCAACTCAAGCATCCTTGACTCCCGACTCCCCCAAAACCACGTGGGGATTCCGTTCTGCAACAAGCTTGGGCCTCCTTGTCACAAGAAGCCCCGTTTTCGCTCTGCAGCCCCAGCCTTCTTGCTGCACCTGCTCTCCCGAGTCCTGTGTCCACACGTGGCAACACTGGAGAACCGTCGGAAGACGCGGCAAAGATCCCACCGATCCCACCTCCAGAATCGCCTCGGTGCTGGCTTGCCCTGAAGTTCACCGCTTCACACAGCACCGCTTCGCGTGCACTGCGCGAGTCGCGAGTCGAGCCTGGGTCCTCATGCTCCTGATTCTCCAGCTCCTCCCCTTCCGTCAGGAAGCCAAGGTGCCTGTGCTCAGCGGGGCTCGGAAGCTTCTGCCACGGATGCCCGATGGCCTCTGCGCGGCTGCGAGCTCCGCCTGCATGGTTAGTTGCTGGACGGTTGCGCGTGCAACGACGAAGCAAGGCGGCGCAGGCTCCTTGTAGCCGTTCTTCTCCTTGAGCGCGTCCAGCGCAATCCTGCGGCAATTGACGTTCTCGTCCTTCAGCATCAACTTGTCGCCTGCCTCAGGGAGTCGCGAGCCAACGTAGCCACTTGCCCCGTCTTCGCAGCATCAACACCAATGCAGTCGACAAGCCTGTCCGAAACCTAACTTTCCGGTTGCCAGCCGAGCATCCGCAAGCTGCAGCTGAAACTCCTGCTTCTCCATTGTCCTGGTCTTAGGCACGTCTATATCGTCTATTATATTCCCTACTCAGAATGCTCCCTCAAAGTGGCGCCTTTTGATAACGTCTACAAGTGCTGCTGATGGTAATGCAACGGAACCGGGCCAAGGTGCTCGCGCAGGTTCTTATCTTTCGATTCCGTCTGGACGGCGGCCTACAGCCGTCGAGATGGAGAGAGGGGAATGGCACGGCAATCCCGAAAACGAACGGGTTGCACAAGACTACACTGGGCGACGCCAGGCGAAACTGACAAATAAAAACGTTCAACACTTGGGAAGTGAAGCGCCACGCTTGCTCCAGTCGCAACAGCTGAGACAGCAGCTGAAACTGTTGAGCTCTGGCTGGTGGGCCGTTCCTGCAGGTACGTGGGGCTGGCCAAGCCGTCTTCAACAGCAACACCGGCTGCTTCTTATATGAAATCATCAGCTGAAGCTGAGGCATCGGCGAGGAGCTGTGCCAGCTGGGCATCGATATTCTCGATGCGCTGAGAAGCCACGATATTCGCGGCCTTGTCCGCATCTTCTGGGCTTTGCTTCACGCGGCTCGCTACACAAAGCAAGATCACGTCCGGCGCGGCCTGCAACTGCTCCCATCGAGCTTCCCAGGCTTCCTGAAAAAATCGCGGGCGAATGCCGGACGTTCATGCGCAGCACCGGCAAAATCCGGCTGCAGATGTTCAGTTTCTTTCCGGCTCCTCACATGTAGAAGCAGTGTTTGCCTCCACCGTGGTCGCCATGGCCTGGCGAAGGCATCGTGTAGCTTATCCGCAGCCCAAGTGACGGGTGCACGTCTCTACTCAAAACATCGCGACCTCGATCCGCCAGCTCAACTCATCAACCTTCCGTGTAAGCTGGCTGGAAGCTGACGAAGGGACTGCGATGCGAACTTTCCTCCACCTGGCCTTCGCGAACCGCGTCTCGGTATCCTCCGAGCGAGTTCGACTCTCAGGCTACGAAGCTTTATCAATCGAACTTGATCGTTGACTTGTCATCGGCCTCCAGCCTCTTCATCAAGCCTTCCAATACACTGAGGACAGGCTGTACAGGTATCATGCCTGAAGCAGGAAGCATCAGGAAGCATAGAGGAATCAGAGCGCGCTCAGCCGGCTGCTGGCATCGGTGCTCGAGCTGGAGCCTTCCTGCGACGGAGCGAACGGCTGAGCTCAGGCTCTCAGCTAGGCTTCCGCTGCCCCTCCAGCGATTCAGATTCACGCGCAGCACCGGTTCAAGATTTTCAGTTTCCATCCGGCGGCTCCTCACGTGTAGAAGCAATATTTGCCTCCACCGTGTTCGCCATGGCCTGGCGAAGGCATCGTGCAGCCTATCCGCAAGCATCCGCAGCCCAAGTAACGGGCGCGCGTCTCTGCTCAAAACATCGCGGCCTCGATGCGGCAAGCCAGCTCATCAACCTCCGCGTAAGCTACAAGCTGACAACGGGCCCACTGCCATGCGAACTTTCCTCCACCTGGCCTTCGCAAACCGTCGCTCGAAATCCTCCGAGCGAGTTCGACTCTCAGGCTAGGAAGCTTTGTCGAACTTGATCGTTGACTTGTCATCGGCCGCCTCCATCCTCTTTGACAAGCCTTCCAGCATAGTGAGGACAGGGTGTAAGATGCCTGAAACATAAAGCATCAGCAATGCAAAATAGTGCAAAGGAATCAGAGCGCGCTTAGCCGGCTGCTGGGATCGGTGGTGGTGGTGCTCGAGCTGGAGCCTTCCTGCGACGGAGCGAACGGCTAGGCTCTCACCTAGGCTTCCGCTGCCCATCCAGCGATTCAATTTCACGCGCAGCACCGGCAGAATCCGGCTCAAGATTTTCAGTTTGCATCCGGCGGCTCCTCACGTGTAGAAGCAATGTTTGCCTCCACCTTGTTCGCCATGGCCTGGCGAAGGCATCGTGCAGCCCATCCGCAGCCCAAGTAACGGGCGCGCGTCTCTGCTCAAAACATCGCGGCCTCGATCCGGCAAGCCAGCTCATCAACCTTCCGTGTAAGCTGGCTGGAAGCTGACGAAGGGCCCACTGCGATGCGAACTTTCCTCCACCTGGCCTTCGCTAGGCGATGCTCGAAATCCTCCCAGCGAGTTCAACTCTCAGGCTGGGAAGCTTTGTCGAACTTGATCGTTGACTTGTCATCGGCCGCCTCCATCCTCTGTGCCATGCCTTCCTGCACACTGAGGACAGGCTTTAAGCTGCCTGAAGCAGGAAGCATCAAGAGAAGCGCAAGGGAATGAGAGCATGCTCAGCCGGCTGCTGGCCATGTTGGAGCTCGGGCTCGAGGCTTCGAATTCCTGCAACGGAGCGAACGGCTGAGCGCAGGCTCTCAGCTGCGCCGCACTTCGACCCTCAGGCCTCTTTAGGCTTTCGTTGCCGCTCAAGCGATTCCTCGACAGGCGGTTCGGGCCCCGCAGCCCACTCCGTCTCCCTTGTATCATGACTCTCTATCATGGCTCTCTTGCGAACAGAGAGCTCAGAGCATCTACAATCTACACGCCAAGGAGCCAATCCGGACCTCCGCCCACCGCTACGCCGGGCCTTGGGGGATCGACACGTTCGCCCGCCCCGACCACCTCATGGCCATCTGACTAGCCGGAGACTGGGGTTGCGGCGCGGCACTCGCGGGATTCGCGGGGCTGGCGGCACTCAGAGCCCTGACAGGCTGTGCCCTTGATGCGCAGCTTGGCCGAGCTTGAATTGCAAATCACTGCCCATGACCACAGCGCGGCGGGGCCTCTTCTTTGAAAGGGCTTGCCTGCACGGGGACACACGCACCGCCGCGCTCAAGCCTGCAACCAGGTCTGGCCTCCCGGCCAAGCAAGATCGGCAGAGGCCTCAGCCACACTGACAAGGCCATCCCAGAAGCTCAGGCTTGGGTCCAAGGTCCAAGAATTCGCGGTAGTGCCGCATGTATAGAGCCCTTAAGCAGACGCTTCCATGTACAGGAGTCCATGAGAATGCAGGATAAACCAGCAGATCACCTCCGAAATCTCACCCGAACGATTTTCTGCAGAACTGGCAGGGGGCAGAACCCCCTCATGGCAAAAAGATACAGAGAGGACCACATGCTGCAGAGGCATGTGAACGTGGGATGCCTTGTGAGGCCTCGCTGAATAGTGATTCCTGCTGTGCGCTTGTTCGAGTCTCACTCGTGGGAATATTGCACAGGTTTTGCCAGCAGTCTTGCCTGAAATGTGGACCCAACTACCGACGCGCGTGCGCGCTCCCCGTCGCAAACAGCAGCGCAGGAAGCGTGGAATGAACGGGAGAGCCGTCAGTCGCAATCAGAGTCGACGGGTTTCTGAAGAGAGCAAGCACTATACAACCCCAGGATCAGGAGTATGGGAAAAGGAGATCTTCACACCAGGCGAGACAAATCAAAAGGCTCGAGACTCAGGTCACGGCGGGCATGGCGGGCGCGAACGCACCTCCTTCGGAGGCGTGCGGCTCACCTTGGCCATTTGCGACAGCAAGCTCGGCTCTGTCACCGGCAGCTTTACACTTATAAGACTTATAAGTCGAGGCTACGGCAGAACGAGCGGCAGCGCCATGGGCTCGTGGCGGGGTTTCAAACTGATCGCAGACTAACTTGGCACAATCGACTGATGTGTTGTCCAAAGTCCTGCTACAAGTATCCAGAAGTCTTGCCCTGCAGTCTTGCAGCCCCTGCCTGTCGCGTCACTGACACCACCCTTTTGGGCAGCATCGTGTAAATGATTTTACCCGGCCTTGGCCCAGCAAACTCCGCATCCACGCAGCCAAGGCGACTTTCACACTCAGATCGCGGCACGTGAACAGGCTGACCTCAACGCCGCTTTCGAGCGCAACGTGACTAAACTTCTAAACACATCCTTGGCCACTGTTCTTGGGTGCCCAGCAAATGTGTCGCGATACCTCGGGCAGTTCGGTGCACGCTCACGCAGCGCCGAATCCGCTTCGAGGCAACTACTAGTACGAGGATGTAGCCGAGTCGCCACGGTCGCGCCGGCTGACGCCGCCCTGGGCGACGGGGCGCGGCAGGCCATCGTCGAGTTGCGGAGCCGCTGCACAGCTGATCAAACAGAAAGCCGCAGCTGCTGCGACACTTTGAGCCAATCACCAAGCCATGACACTCTACGGAGCGACTGCAGAGCGGCCACTGGCAGGATAGCAACGACTGCAGAGCCCAGCTGTGCAGCCGGGGTCTGGACGGCTTTCGTCGCCTTTCTCAACCACCGCACCTTTCTTGCCTGCAGCATACAACTATAGTGTTGAGGAGTCGGCTCAGGAATCGACGTTGGATGTCGCCATGCAGGTCCGTAGAGTGCTTGTGCAGCTTCAAAAGCACTCCGAAAGCATTGTCTACGCACTCCGAGGAGGCTCTCCGCATGGCCCCCGGCTCTTAGAGCATCTCTTACCGAGCTCCGCTGGCACTTTCGGGAATTCAATACCGTGCAATCCTGTGGTGATACTTGGGGTGGGCCCTTGGCTGGGTGCTGGAATCAACCATGCTCAACTTGTGCTGCACCGGGCGACCCCGCATTGCCCCAACCCAACGCCTCCATCAACACTGATACAAGTTGCAAGAGTAAGATCAAGACACACCTGCAACACAGTTCATTTCGGACGCCCCACCCCTTTCACCGAAGTGACTGCGTCCGCGCGTGGTCAAGGCCGTCATGAGGCAAAGCTGATGGAGCAACAACAGTTTTCATTCGCAGCAGGAGCCATCGAACGAGAGTGAGGTCATGATGTCACTGGCCTGGGACGTGCGGCAGCTCGAAGGTTTATTCTTCAGGCCAAGCATGCAAAGAGTGGATGCATATACAACAACGACACAGCATTCAGCATTCCCATAATGCCCTGCGGTCGACTCGAAATCTGACGAACTCGAGAGCTTGGCTGCTGAGCTGGCAAGCCCCGCGCTTTCCGTTCCCTATGGTGGCGCAACCCACGCAGCAAACACGGCAACATCTCTGACAGAGGTGGAAACTTTTCTTTGTGGCGGCACATCGAGTGGTTGCATTACAAGTTCGCCGAAAAAAGGGTGCGAGAGTACACAACTGCTGTGCCCTTGGCCGAAGTGGGACACGTCGCTCGTGAAGCCCTTAAATGCAGCGTTTGCCTGGTTGAAACACTAAGTCCATTAAAATGCTGCAGTTTCCCTCATCAATCTCTCAATGTTTGGGACGGCACGGCGGCAAACCCAGCGGCCACCCAGCTAACCCCTCTACAAACCGAAGTGACGGAAGCTTTAGAAAGACGCGAGTGTAAACGTGGACGGGAAGCCACGGCCTGTCTTCATCCGCGCATGGCGGAATCGTTGCACAGAATCCTTCCCTGCCTCAAGTTGAAAGTCTACCAGAGTCTACCACAGCATAAGACGCCTCAAGCTTCCTCTTTCTATATTTAGCACAGGCTGAATGCTGATAAGCCCACGGCCACTTCGGCAGAAGCCTCTCGTGCCTGGAAGTCGTACCTGCCACAGGTTGGAAACCTCAAGGACAGAGCGCTCTCGGCATCGCATCGCAAGCCATCGGCCCACGTAGTCGGGCTTGATTGGAGAAGCAGTCACACCTGGTCATGCTCAAGATCTGGCACAACTGCGCCCCTACAGTGGAGGGCATGGCCGAGACTGCACAGCGTCGAGGCCATCGCCTGGATGTCCTGGCGCAAAGCAGGCGGCCTGATGAGCACAGCAGAAGATCGCTGCAAGTCGGAAAAGAAATGCTGCCCACTGCGTGCTTCTCATTGCTCATATTACATCGGTTACATCGTCTCTGACAATTTTAATTGCCGTCAGCGCCATTGCAAAAATCAAAGCTACTGCATTCTTGACAAACTGGGGGGGGGGAATCCGTCAGCGCCATTGCAAAAATCAAAGCTACTGCATTCTTGATAAACTGGGGGGGGGGGGGGAAATGTGGCCGCGAGCTCGTACCGGGCAAGGGCTCGCTGTGAGCATCGCTTGGCTTCGCCTTGCCCGGAGCGAGGCCGGGCCACAACCATCGTTCATGCATCATGAACACTGAGTGTCCCTCACGCACGCATCGTAGTCGAAGTCAGGCATGCCACGGTCAAGAATCAAGCGATGGACAAACACTGCTCATGATGCTCCTGCACAGTGTCGTGTTGTCTGAAGGCCAGGGCCTAGGGCCTAGGTAATTTCGAGCGTGCGGCCGCACTAAACTGCGCTTGCGCCTCGAAACTCTCGGCACTCTCGCCAGGCAAAGCCCCATCTTGGCAACATTTGGCAACAGCACAGCAGTAACAACTCAGCAAGCTGAATGCGAGGCAACGATCCTTCAACGTTGCCAATTTGCAAGCTTGTGGCCAAGGCTGCGGCACCCCATGTGGCCCGAAAGGCCAATTTGGCAGATGGGCCTGGCCTTAACTGAAACGAGGAGATCCTTTTAATTGCAGCGCGAAGAGTGCTGTCATGTCCAAGTCACGACATCCTGGCAGAAGTAGCGCTTCTTTTTCATGAAAATTGCGAACGCAACGGAAGTAAGCGAAGTGAATCACTTCGCTTGCTTCGCTTCCTTGGCGGAGGCTATCAAGCTCCTGGCCTCCGCCCATGTGATCGCCTGGAAGTAGCCGGCTAAGCGCGCTCTGATTCCGTTGCGCTTCCTGATGCATTTTGCTTCAGGCATGTTACAGCCTGTCCTCAGCGTGCTGGCAGGCTTGTCGAGGAGGATGGAGGCGGCCGATGACAAGTCAACGATCAAGTTCGATAAAGCTTCATAGCCTGAGAGTCGAACTCGCTCGGAGGATTTCGAGCGACGGTTCGACTCAAAGCGTCGCTCGAAATCCTCCGAGAGAGTTCGACTCTCAGGCTAGGGGCTAATTGGGTCAAGAACAGTCATAAGCAGGTGGGGAGTCCCAGGATGTCGCAAGTTCTGGATTGCAAGCATCGGTGTTGGAGCTCGGGCTGCAACGGAGCCAAAAGCTGAGCTCAGGCTCTCACCAGCGCTGCACTTCGACGCTCCAGGCCGCCTTAGGCTTTCGCTGCCACGCCAGCGATTCCTCGAAAGGCGGTTCGGGCCCCGCAGTCCGTCGGAGACCTGCACGCAACAGTCCGCACCCCTGCCCAGCGCTACGTTTCCGGGTCTAGGGTTGCAGCGCGGGACTCGCGGGATTCGCGGGGCTCGCGCCGCCGCCCTGACGAAGCGCGGCAGGCCATCGTCGAGTCAGGGAGCCGCTGCAAAGCTGATCAAACAGAAAGCCGCAGCTGCTGCGACACTTTGAGCCCATTCACCAAGCCATGACACTCTACGGAGCGACTGCGGAGCGGCTACTGGCAGGATATGGCAAGATAGCAACGACTGCAGAGCCCAGCTGTGCAGCCGGGGTCTGGACGGCTTTCGTCGCCTTTCTCAACCACCGCACCTTGCTTGCCTGCAGCATACAACTGTAGTGGAAATGGGTTGATACAGTCGCAAACGCAGTGTTGAGGAGTCGACTCAGGAATCGAGCCAACGATCGAAAGAGATCATGCCAGAATCATGCCATATCATGCTGTCGTCCTGTATTTGGGGGTGTGCTGCCAGAAACGCCCATCGAAAAAGCACAACTTGGCTGCTGAGCTGGCAAGCCCCCCGCTTTCCGTTCCCAATGGTGACGCAACCCACGCAGCAAACGCCAACGCGGCAACATCACTGACAGAGGAGAAAATGTTTCTTTCTGGCAGCATTTCTCACGAAAAGGTTAGCATAGCCGAGTGATTGCATTACAAGTCCGCGGAAAGTGGACGTGCGGACTCAACTGCTGTACCCTTGGCCGAAGTAAGCCCTTAAATGCAGAGTTTTTTTCCTGGTTGAAACACTAAGCCCGTTAAAATGCTGCAGTTTCCCTCATCAATCTCTCAATGTTTGGCACGGCACGGCGGCAAACCCAGCGGCCGCCCAGCTAACCCCTCTGCCAACCGAAGTGACGCAGGCTTTAGAAAGACGCGAGTGTAAATGTAGACAGGAAGCCCCGGCCTGTCTTCATCTGTGCATGGCGGAATCGTTGCACGGAATCTGAATCCTTCCCTGCCTCAAGTGCAAAGTCTACCACACCATAAGACGCCTCGAGCTGCCTCTTTCCGTATTCAGCACAGGCTTAATGCTAGGAAGCCCACCGCCACTTCGGCAGAAGCCTGTGATTGGAAACCTCAAAGACAGAGCGCTCTCGGCATCGCATGTGCAAGTCATCGGCCACCTCTATGCACGGCTCCAGGTCGGCTGCCTGTTAGGTGCTTTGGGCTCTGCTCGTCGAAAGCCTTGCAGGCAGTGGGGAGGTTGAAACGACCGTCTTGCTAACGACCAGTGACCAGGCCAACACTTTTATTCCGTCGGCTACACTCACCTGTCTATCTTCCGGCATGTGCTCGCAGCCTCGTGAGGGAAGAATCTGGAGACTGTGTTGCAGTCCCGCACCTGAGCCCCGTTTCAACGGAAGTTTCATCGTCTCGGTCGGCCAAATCACCCACCTTTGCACAGGCCTCGAATATGATTCTACAACATGGCATTACAGGGCCCCGGGCCGCAGTGTAGTGAGCAGCGTGAGGCTGATTTCTCCTGCTTCTGCAAGAAGCTGCGGCTCGGGCGGAAGATCCGGCTGCACGGTCTTTTTTCAAGGCCTTCAAAGCTTCAGAATCAGATCCCCGCAGAGAGTCTCAGAGTCTTTGACTGGTGTAGCTCTCACGTCAAGACGGGGCCGTTCAACCGTGAGCCGAAGATTCCGTCAGGCAGGAACACAGAACAAAGGCAAAAGAGGCGTGCCCTTCCATGCGCGATCTCGGTCACGGGGTCAAAGCGGGCACTCAAGCTTGCTGGGCCTGGGCCCCCTGCTCCCTTAGTCGGCGGACTAGTCCCACGTCCGAAGAGCAGCCACCCAAAAGCACCTACTATCATCCCGTGCGCAGCATTCTAGCCTCCCGTACTCCTGCAACTTCATGGAAGTCGTCCCGCCTCAGACCAGCGCGTCCGTCTCTCGCAGCGGCACTGGGAGTAGACTACTGCGTGAACGCTTACAAGGCCGACACGTGTTGGAGACCAGGAAATCGTTGCCGCCCTCTCCTTCCGCAATGTCCTGCAAAGTCTTTGAACATCTGTGCACATGCTGGCTTTGGCCCATTCCATGCCGAGAATGCCTGAACCCTCAGCTGCAGATTGGCTGCTGAGCAGTGCTTTGAGACTCTTGCTAGTGGCTGTCGTCCTCTGCTGTGGCTTCACCGCCACGCACAGTAAAACAAGCCTTAGCAGATCAAACGAGCACCCTTGACAGAAGCACTGGCAGACTCCACGCCCATAAAACCACAGGAAGAGCTTTGCCTGGGATATGATATCATGGATCCTCCGTGCGGGTTGCTACTCGAATAAGAGTGCTGGCATGTCCAAGTCACGACCTGCTGGCAGAAAGCAGCGCATCTTTTTCACGAAAATTGCGAACGGAACGGAATCCGGCGGGCCATCACTTCGCTTGCTTCTTCGCTTTCTTGGCGGAGGCTATCAGGTTCCTGGCCTCCTTGTAAGAGATCGCCTGGAGGTCACAGGTGCTTCGCAGCCACTTGCAACCCAGAACTTGCGACATCCTACGACTCCCCACCTGTCCATGGCTGTTCTTCACCCAATTCCGCAGCTGCTCCTCGGGATTCAGCATGGTGGAAAGCACCGCTTCGGCTGCGGGTCGTGCGGGATCAGGATCGTGACTCACATGAGCATGAAGAAGCGTGATCATGCGAATCATGGCGGCTGCCCAGTGGCCGGCGTGGGAGTTTGCCCGAAGTGGGCCGTGTACGCTTTCACCATGTCCTTTGCGCACGACGCCAGCACTGCGCCGCCAGCCGCGAAGTCCCCCAAACCCCGACGCTTCCTCGTTCTTGAGGATGATCCGGCCCTCCGCAGCTGGGGGAATAAGTGCCTCGCCATTCCGGATCACTAGAATCACTGTGTCTGCGTCCTCAGAGAGCAAAGCTACATGAGCCTCGAGGAGACTGTTGCGACCAATCCGGAAGGAAGCTCAAATTCAAAGGCGTCGAAAGGAGTGATAAGGAACCCAGCTCCAATCTAAAAGGGATGACGAAAGACGACCCTCAGGCTCACTGTGAGATGCACCACCACTCAACCCTAAAAGCACAGACAACATCACCATTTCCCGGAATCCCGCCTCTCCATAGAGATACAGCCAGCCAGGCCCGCTTGCACGATGTGGTCGCGGTAGCTCTGAGAGGGCTTTGGCAAGCTTTCGCAGAACTCGGAGACTTGAAGCTTGGGCATTAGCATGTTAGCATGCATCAGCCTCCAAACCCGCAAAGCCCTGGGTAACTCAAGCATCCTTGACTCCCGACTCCCCCAAAACCACGTGGGGATTCCGTTCTGCAACAAGCTTGGGCCTCCTTGTCACAAGAAGCCCCGTTTTCGCTCTGCAGCCCCGGCCTTCTTGCTGCTCCTGCTCCCCAGAGTCCTGTGGCCACGCATGGCAACACTGGAGAACCGTCGGAAGACGCGGCAAAGATCCCACCTCCAGAATCGCCTCGGTGCTGGCTTGCCCTGAAGTTCACAGCTTCGCACAGCATCGCTTCGCGTGCACTGCTCGAGTCGCGAGTCGAGCCTGGGTCCTCATTCTCCTGATTCTCCAGCTCCTCCCCTTCCGTCAGGAAGCCAAGGTGCCTGTGCTCAGCGGGGCTCGGAAGCTTCCGCCGCGGATGCCCGACGGCCTCTGCGCGGCTGCGAGCTCCGCCTGCATGGCCAGCCGCTGGCCGGTTGCGCGTGCAACTACGAAGCAAGGCGGCGCAGGCTCCTTGTACCCGTTCTTCTCCTTGAGCGCGTCCAGCGCAATCATGCGGCAATTACTGTTCTCGTCCTTCAGCATCAACTTGTCGCCTGCCTCAAGGGTGTCACGAGCCAACGTAGCCACTTGCCCTGTCTTCGCAGCATCAACAAAGCCTGTCCGAAACCTATCTTTCCGGTTGCCAGCCGAGCATCCGCAAGCTGCAGCTGAAACTCCTGCTTCTCCACTGTCCTGGTCTTAGGCACGTCTATATCGTCTATTATATTCCCTAATCAGAATGCTCCCTCCAAGTGGCGCCTTTTGATGAAGTCTACAAGTGCTGCTGATGGTGATGCAACGGAACCGGGCCAAGGTGCTCGCGCAGGTTCTTATCTTCCGATTCCGTCTGGACGGCGGCCTACAGCTGTCGAGATGGAGAGAAGGGAATGGCGCGGCAATCCCGAAAACGAACGGGTTGCACAAGACTACACTGGGCGACGCCAGGCGAAACTGACAAATAAAAACGTTCAACGCTTGGGCAGTGAAGCGCAATGCTTGCTCCAGTCGCAACAGCTGAGACAGCAGCTGAAACTGTTGAGCTCGGGCAGGTGGGCCGTTCCTGCAGGTGCGTGGGGCTGGCCAAGCCGTCTTCAACAGCAACACCGGCTGCTTCTTATATGAAATCATCAGCTGAAGCTGAGGCATCGGCGAGGAGCTGTGCCAGCTGGGCATCGATATTCTCGATGCGCTGAGAAGCCACGATATTCGCGGCCTTGTCCGCATCTTCTGGGCTTTGCTTCACGCGGCTCGCTACACAAAGCAAGATCACGTCCGGCGCGGCCTGCAACTGCTCCCATCGAGCTTCCCAGGCTTCCTGAAAAAATCGCGGGCGAATGCCGGAAGTTCATGCGCAGCACCGGCAAAATCCGGCTGCAGACTTTCAGTTTCCCTCCGGCGGCTCCTCACGTGTAGAAGCAATGTTTGCCTCCACCTTGTTCGCCATGGCCTGGCGAAGGCATCATACAGCCTATCCCCAGCCCAAGTAAAGGCCGCGCGTCTCCGCGCAAAACATCGCGGCCTCGACCCGGCAAGCCAACTCATCAACCTTCCGTGTCAGCTGGAAGCTGACGAAGGTCCCACTGCGATGCGAATTTTCCTCCACCCGGCCTTCGCAAAGCGAAACTCGAAATCCTCCGAGCGAGTTCGACTCTCAGGCTACGAAGCTTTATAACTCGAACTTGATTGTTGACTTGTCATCGGCCTCCAGCCTCTTTGACAAGCCTTCCAATAAGCTGAGGACAGGCTGTACAGGTATCATGCCTGAAGCAGGAAGCATCAGGAAGCATAGAGATCATAGAGGAATCAGAGCGCGCTCAGCCGGCTGCTGGGATCGGTGGTGGTGCTCGAGCTGGAGCCTTCCTGCGACGGAGCGAACGGCTGAGCTCAGGCTCTCACGCTCTCACCTAGGCTTCCGCTGCCCCTCCAGCGATTCAATTTCACGCGCAGCACCGGCAGAATCCGTTTCAAGATTTTCAGTTTCCATCCGGCGGCTCCTCACGTGTAGAAGCAATGTTTGCCTCCACCTTGTTCGCCATGGCCTGGCGAAGGCATCATGCAGCCTATCCCCAGCCCAAGTAAAGGGCGCGCGTCTCCGCGCAAAACATCGCGGCCTCGACCCGGCAAGCCAACTCATCAACCTTCCGTGTCAGCTGGAAGCTGACGAAGGTCCCACTGCGATGCGAATTTTCCTCCACCCGGCCTTCGCAAAGCGAAACTCGAAATCCTCCGAGCGAGTTCGACTCTCAGGCTACGAAGCTTTATAACTCGAACTTGATTGTTGACTTGTCATCGGCCTCCAGCCTCTTTGACAAGCCTTCCAATAAGCTGAGGACAGGCTGTACAGGTATCATGCCTGAAGCAGGAAGCATCAGGAAGCATAGAGATCATAGAGGAATCAGAGCGCGCTCAGCCGGCTGCTGGGATCGGTGGTGGTGCTCGAGCTGGAGCCTTCCTGCGACGGAGCGAACGGCTGAGCTCAGGCTCTCACGCTCTCACCTAGGCTTCCGCTGCCCCTCCAGCGATTCAATTTCACGCGCAGCACCGGCAGAATCCGTTTCAAGATTTTCAGTTTGCATCCGGCGGCTCCTCACGTGTAGAAGCAATGTTTGCCTCCACCGTGTTCGCCATGGCCTGGCGAAGGCATCGTGCAGCCCATCCGCAAGCATCCGCAGCCCAAGTAACGGGCGCGTGTCTCTGCTCAAAACATCGCGGCCTCGATCCGGCAAGCCAGCTCATCAACCTTCCGTGTAAGCTGGAAGCTGACGAAAGGCCCACTGCAATGCGAACTTTCCTGCACCTGGCCTTCGCGAGCTGTCGCTCGAAATCCTCCGAGCGAGTTCGACTCTCAGGCTAGGAAGCTTTGTCGAACTTGATCGTTGACTTGTCATCGGCCGCCTCCATCCTCTGTGCCATGCCTTCCTGCACACTGTAGACAGGCTGTAAACTGCCTGAAGCAGGAAGCATCAAGAGAAGCGCAAGGGAATGAGAGCATGCTCAGCCGGCTGCTGGCCATGTTGGAGCTCGGGCTCGAGGCTTCGAATTCCTGCAACGGAGCGAACGGCTGAGCGCAGGCTCTCAGCTGCGCCGCACTTCGACCCTCAGGCCTCCTTAGGCTTTCGCTGCCGCTCCAGCGATTCCTCGACGGTTCGGGCCCCGCAGCCCGCTCTCTCGGACTCTCTCGTATCATGATTCTCTTGCGAACAGAGAGCTCCAAGCATTAACACGCCGAGGAGCCAATCCGGACCTCCGCCCACCGCTACGCCGGGCCTTGGGGGATCGAGTTCACCCGCCCCGACCACCTCTGACTAGCCGGAGACTGGGGTTGCGGCGCGGGACTCGCGGGATTCGCGGGATTCGCGGGGCTGGCGGCACTCAGAGCCCTGACAGGCTGTGCCATTGCTGCGCAGCTTGGCCGAGCTCGAACTGCAAATCACTGCCCATGACCACAGCGCGGCGGGGCCTCTTCTTTGAAAGGGCTTGCCTGCACGGGGACACACGCGCCGCCGCGCTCAAGCCTGCACCCAGGTCTGGCCTCCCGGCCAAGCAAGATCGGCAGAGGCCTCAGCCACACTGAGAAGGCCATCAACATGGACACTGAGATGCTGCCACACCACCCGAAGCGGCAGTCCGGGCTTGGGTCCAAGAGCTTCAAAAAAGAGTTTGCCCAAACAGCCTTTGCCCCATCAAGCTGTCCCAGAGGATTTATTGCGCTCCCCCTTTCTTCAGCGTAAATGGCAGCTTGCAGCTGGCGGGTTCAGGGATCAATGATCTTCTGCGCCACGCGGCTGACTCGGAGCCGGATTCGGGCTGTCATTAAGCAGACTAGTCCATGTACAGGAGTCCATGAGAATGCAGGATAAGCAGCACAGTAGCTCCGAAATCTTGCCCGAACGATCTTCTGCAGAACTGGCAGGGGGCAGAACAAAAAAGATATAGAAAGGACCACACATGCTTCAATGCAGGATTGAGGCTTCGCTGAAGAGTGATGCGCTTGTTCGAGTCTCGCTCGTGGAAATGTGCCACAGGTTTCGGTAACCTCCCAGCAGTCTTGTTGCCTGCAATGTGCACCCAGTTACCCAACTGCCAACGCGCGTGTGCGCTCTTTGTCGCAGACAGCAGTGCAGGAAGCATGGAAGGAAAAGCAAAGCCGGCAGTTGCAATCGGAGGCTACCTGCGATTCAAGGCAACGGGTTTCTGAAGAGAGCAAGCACTACAAAACCCCAGGATGAGATAGGATGAGGAGTACGGGAAAAGGCGGCGATGTGCACACGAGGCAAGACAGATCAAAAAGGCTCGAGACTCAGGTCACGGCGGGCATGGCGGGCGCGAACGCACCTCCTTCGGAGGCGCGCGGCTCACCTTGGCCATTTGCGACAGCAAGCTCGGCTCTGTCACCGGCAGCTTTACACTTAAAAGACTTATAAGTCGAGGCTGCGGCAGAACGAGCGGCAGCGCCATGGGCTCGTGGCGGGGTTTCAAACTGATCGCGGACTAACTTGGCACAATCGACTGATGTGTTGTCCAAAGTCCTGCTACAAGTATCTAGCAGTCCAGCCCTGCAGTCTTGCAGCCCCTGCCTGTCGCGTCACCGACACCACCCTTTTGGGCAGCGTCGTGTAAATGATTTTACCCGGCCTTGGCCCAGCAAACTCCGCATCCACGCAGCCAAGGCGACTTTCACACTCAGATCGCGGCACGTGAACAGGCTGACCTCAACGCCGCTTTGGAGCACAACGTGACTCAACACATCCTTCGCCACTGTTTTTGGGCGCCCAGCAAACGTGTCGCGATACCTCGGGCAGTTCACTGCACGCTCACCGCACGCCGTCCCAAGAGAATCCGCTTCCAGGCTACGACTAGTAACGAGGATGTAGCCGAGTCGCCACGGTCGCACCGGCTGACGCCGCCCTGGGCGACGGAGCGCGGCAGGCCATCATGGAGTCGCGAAGCCGCTGCAAAGCTGATCAAACAGAAAGCCGCAGCTGCTGCGACACTTTGAGCCCATCACCAAGCCATGACACTCTACGGAGCGACTGCGGAGCGGCTACTGGCAGGATAGCAACGACCCGCTGCGCAGCTGGGGTCTGGACGGCTTCCGTCGTCTTTCTCAACCACAACACCTTGCCTGCAGCATACAACTGTAGTCGAAATGGGCTGAAACAGTCGCAGACGCAGTGTTGAGGTTGAGGAGTCGGCTCAGAAATCGACGTTGGCTGTCGCCATGCTTTGAAGCCTTACGCGAGCTGCTGCGATCGCAAAAGATCATGCCACACCATGCCCCTGTTTTTGGGGGTGTGCTGCCAGAAACTTTGATCGAAAAAGCACGCACGTCTGAGTGGTGCAGCACTTAGTTCTTTTTCACGAAAATTGCGAACCGAACGGAATCCGGCGGGCCATCACTTAGCTTGCTTCGCCTGCTTAGCGGAGGCTATCAGGCGCCTGGCCTCCTTGTAAGAGATCGCCTGGAAGTCACAGGTGCTTCGCAGCCGCTTGCAACCCAGAACTTGCGACATCCTGCGACTCCCCACCTGCCCATGGCTGTTCTTCACCCAATTCCGCAGCTGTTCCTCGGGATTCAGCAAGGTGCAGCACCGCTTCGGCTGCGGGTCGTGCTGGATCGTGACTCACATGAGCATGGTAGAGCATGATGATGCGAATCATGGCGGCTGCCCAGTGGCCGGCGTGGGAGTTTGCCCGAAGTGGGCCGTGTACGCTTTCACCATGTCCTTTGCGCAGGACGCCAGCACTGCGCCGCCAGCCGCGAAGTCCCCCAAACCCCAACGCTTCCTCGTTCTTGAGGATGATCCGGCCGTCTGCAGCTCGGGGAAGAAGTGCCTCGCCATTCCGATCACTACAATGACAGTGTCTGCGTCCTTTGGACCAATCCGGAAGGAAGCTCAAATTCAAAGGCGTCGAAGGGAGTGATAAGGAACCCAGCTCCAATCTCAAAGCGAAGACGAAATATGACTCTCAGGCTCACCGCAGCAAATCCCGCCTCTCCATACAGACACAGCCAGCCAGGCCCGCTTGCACGAGGTGGTCGCTGTAGCTCTGAGAGGGCTTTGGCAAGTTTTCTTTGGGCATTAGCATGCATCAGCCTCCAAACCCACAAAGCCCTGAGTCAACTCAAGCATCCTTGACTCCCGACTCCCCCAAAACCACGTGGGAATTCCGTTCTGCAACAAGCTTGAGCCTCCTTGTCACAAGAAGCCCCGTTTTCGCTGTGCAGTCTCGGCCTTCTTGCTGCTCCTGCTCCCCAGAGTCCTGTGGCCACACGTGGCAACACTGGAGAACCGTCGGAAGACGCGGCAAAGATCCCACCGATCCCACCTCAAGAATCGCCTCGGTGCTGGCTTGCCCTGAAGTTCACAGCTTCGCACAGCACCGCTTCGCGTGCACTGCGCGAGTCGCGAGTCGAGCCTGGGTCCTCATTCTCCTGATTCTCCAGCTCCCCTTCCGTCAGGAAGCCAAGGTGCCTGTGCTCAGCGGGGCTCGGAAGCTTCTGCCACGGATGCCCGATGGCCTCTGCGCGGCTGCGAGCTCCGCCTGCATGGGGAGCCGCTAGCCGGTTGCGCGTGCAACTACGAAGCAAGGCGGCGCACGCTCCTTGTAGCCGTTCTTCTCCTTCAGCGGGCAGGACGAGAACGTCAATTGTCGCAGGATTGCGCTGGACGCATTGAACTTCAATGCGTCCAGCGCAATCCTGCGGCAATTGACGTTCTCGTCCTTCAACATCAACTTGTCGCCTGCCTCAGGGAGTCGCGAGCCAACGTAGCCACTTGCCCCGTCTTCGCGGCATCAACACCAATGCAGTCGACAAGCCTGTCCGAAACCTAACTTTCCGGTTGCCAGCCGAGCATCCGCAAGCTGCAGCTGAAACTCCTGCTTCTCCACTGTCCTGGTCTTAGGCACGTCTATATCGTCTATATATTCCCTACTCAGAATGCTCCCTCCAAGTGGCGCCTTTTGATGAAGTCTACAAGTGCTGCTGATGGTAATGCAACGGAACCGGGCCAAGGTGCTCGCGCAGGTTCTTATCTTCCGATTCCGTCTGGACGGCGGCCTACAGCCGTCGAGATGGAGAGAGGGGAATGGCGCGGCAATCCCGAAAACGAACGGGTTGCACAAGACTACACTGGGCGACGCCAGGCGAAACTGACAAATCAAAACGTTCAACACTTGGGAAGTGAAGCGCAACGCTTGCTCCAGTCGCAACAGCTGAGACAGCAGCTGAAACTGTTGAGCTCCGGCTGGTGGGCCGTTCCTGCAGGTACGTGGGGCTGGCCAAGCCGTCTTCAACAGCAACACCGGCTGCTTCTTGTATGAAATCATCAGCTGAAGCTGAGGCGTCGGCGAGGAGCTGTGCCAGCTTGGCATCGATGTTTTCGATGCGCTGAGAAGCCACGATATCATGCCTGAAGCAGGAAGAAGCATCAGGAAGCGTAGAGGAATCAGAGCGCGCTGAGCCAGCTGCTGGGATCGGTGGTGATGCTCGAGCTGGAGCCTTCCTGCGACGGAGCGAACGGCTGAGCTCAGGCTCTCACCTAGGCTTCCGCTGCCCCTCCAGCGATTCAATTTTCTTTTCAGTTTCCATCCGGCGGTTCCTCGCGAGTAGAAGCAATCATCCCGGTGCGCTCCAGGAGTGTCTACGAGGTCCACTATGTGCGCAATGGCTGCCAGGATTTGCAATGCGAGCCGGGTTTCAAGAATGCTAACGGTCCAGGGCTTCGTCAGGCCCACTGCAGCCATGCGACCAAGACTGGGGCGTCATTTTCAGCGAAGCCCAGGACCTGCTCGCTGGAGATAGACAGTCAAGGGGAAGTTGCAGCTACGCCATGACTTTTTATGCTTGCAGAAGCAATGACTCACCATCTTCAGGCCATGAACGAGGGGTAAGATCACGGACTCATCTCACGTTGGGCTGATCTTCGCCCCCTGTGCCAAGCAAGCCCTGCAAGGAGCCCGTGTGCCATCGAGGGTACACACGAACAAGTCAAGAATGACCAACCTAGCACAGTCAAACGACACAACGCTTCAGGCTCTGAAAAAGTGTTTTAAGTTGGTGTTTCGAATTCCGCTCCTCACAAAAGCTCTCTTAGACATTATCGACATTAGTGTCATTGGCCTCTCATGTTCGCAGAAGTCTTCAATGTGCCATGCGCGGCACTTCGAAGCACGGGGTGCATTTGCGAAAACAGAAGCTTTCTCATTGCACCAACACAAAACTCCTGGGCCTGATACAGGCGGTCTTGCTTTTTGCTGGTTGCTCTGCTGCTTTGCGGTTTGCCTGCGTCTTGCAAGTGACTACATAGCACAAGTGTTCGCATCGTGGCGCTTGTGTCACCATGATAGGCCACTCGATGCAAGTTCGGCATTGTCCGTTATTGATGCGTCGTTCACAACTGGCAAACGGTCTCTCGGCAATGTGGCACCACATGCAGATACTTTACTTTGCACTCACTGGTTGTTACTGTTACTGTTGTCCGGAGGATACTCAACACCTTATGTTGCAATCCACAATCTCGCTTGTTTGCCAGCGGCGACTGCAGCCCAACAACTACCAAATCCCACCGTATCATGCCGGTCCTTGGCGGCAACGGAGCTGGCATCTGTGGTGCCAGCCGGGGTGCCTGACCACAAGCTCCACTGCTAAAAGCTCGAATCTCTTGCCAAAACAACAAGCCTGCATGCTCTTTGAACAGCTTCCGATCTGCTTGTATGCAGACACACCCCCTATCTCTGAACCGATCACTGCAGCGACTGCGTGCAGAGTGCCCATCGCATGATAGCTCAGCAGCCCTCCCTCACTGCTCCGGCCCTATTTGATGCACTTTGGCCGATTCTGTCACCGCGGAGAGCTGGTCCGTTGGCCCAAGAGGGTACATTGGCCACGAAGTCGTCGATGCGAGGAAAGTTCCGCCAAGCGGAATAGCCGATGGGCTGGATGCACACCTCCGCCCCGCCCCACAGCTTGCCGACACCTGCGACGTAATCGCTGCTGACGATGTCCTCTGCGCGACGAGGCCGGTCATTACCACCATGACAAGGCGGCTGTGGTTCAGCTCTTGGCACTGGACCTGGACCCGCTTCCATCCGTTCCAGACCTCGGAAGGGTAGCCCTCGTCGATGATTCCCTTCCATCCGAGCGCGTCCCAAGGGCGGTCCTCAGGGGGCTTGCAGATGTAGGTGGTGAGCCACTCCAGGCGCATGATCGTGAGGATCACCCCCCTCATGCCTCCCATGAAAAGTTGGGTCGTTGCTCATCCTCGCCGATGGCACATAGTCACATAGTCACCCAACAAATGGTAGGCTGCAGCCACGTGGAACCAGTGGAGCACTGCGAATATCGCCACGCGATCTCCTTCTCATGCCTGCCGGATCCCGGAAGTTGGTGTTTGCCTGAGCATTCGGGGTCGGGCCACCGGTCCCGGCGATGATGCCACCTGTGCCGGCATCAATGCACGCAGCGGGGAGTCAGTGTAGGGATACCAGTCACCCCATGTCTATTCTGTCAGTACGTTTTGGAAGAACATGCCAACGAGAGCCATCATTGCCGAGCATTGCCAAACGAAATCAACGCCACAGTATAGCTCAGCGGTCAAGGTGCTCTAAGCAAGGGCAGCGGGAGCGGTGTCAACTTGGCAGGACTCCATGCTCACAGAGGCGAAAGTAATCAACGTCAGAACAAGCTCCCAAATCTCCCAACATACTCTGGAGCAAATCCACGCAACGAATGCCGTCAGGGATGCTTCATCGAATGATCGGAGAATCCTTTGATGACAATGGTCAGATCGTCATTGCTCTTCCTCTTGCCTCATCCTCGTGCTTCTCACACTTGCTGGCCGGACTGTGAGGAAAACGCCCAGACAGAGGGCCTGTCAAAAGAAGTAGCGGCAATCACTCCCTCTTTATTCTGGAAGCCCACAAGTGCCGCACCTGTGGGCCAGCCGTGCGGTATGCTGACCTCTCTGCAACACGTGAAACGAGCCCTTAGGCTGGCTTCGTCGAAGGGAATCCCTTGACAACGACTTCCAAGTCGTCGCCTTTTCCTTGCCGTTCCCTCGCCTGCCGTTGCCATCCTTCCCCTGCTTCGGCCTGTGTTCCAGTCGCCCCATCCGCCAGAATCCCATCCATTGCCACCAATGCACTTTCCGTCAACCTTTGGGGCAATAACCCCTGATTGCTTCGGCATGCTCTGCGTCCTGTGGATGTGCGACGGATCCGGAAGCTTCGGGCCACCACGCCACCTTAGGAACCGCCGCAGCAACGCTGACACTTCTCATAGAAAGAAGAGAGCACGCACTGATTGAAATAACTTCGAGCGGCCCGGTGCTGGTGTAACCACTTGCTCCGGTTTCGGGGTCAGGAGCGGCTTTGGGATGATCAGCGGTTTCGGAGCACCCGCTGAAGGAATCCTCAGCTGTGGGTTTGTTTATATACTGCATGCAGTTGGTGCAAACACGCCGCTGGACAGTGCATCATGCGGCCGCTTTGCAACATAATGACAAAGCTACGCATGGACTGTCAGAAAGCCATCCAATACATAATGCAAGCCTCTGAGATTTGGCGGGCACCATGCCACCGGCATGTGCTTTCGGAGGCAAATCGTTCAAACTCGATTGGTGACGCAGCCTGGCACGGACACCAACTCATGCGCGACATGACGAGAAAGCACACACACCAGTTCGTGATCAAAGCTGACCGCTCAAAAGCTCGCACTCAGCAGAGACAGCTTGGGGGCAAGATCCTTGCAACGGTGCTATGAGAGACTGCAAACTCCGCCCACACCGGGCCTACCAGCATATTCATTTACATATGTGATGTTTTGCGTGGTGAGGAAAATCAAAATGACACTAAGTGTTTGAAACCAGTGCTGCTGCGCTTGGAGGTTAACTTGAAGTGAGGCGCATGGCAGCTAGCGGCTAGAAGAAGCTTGCTGGGAACTTGTCAACCACCGGCCTGCTTCGACAGACATTTATCACGTGAAAACCACGTCTTTACGTGGCCTCGCTCATGTAAAAGTCGCACATGGGCCCAAAATCTCATGCCCTCCGCTTCTACCGAAACCATGAAGTGATCGACATCGCCCCTCCACCGTTGCTGCTATGACCGCCCGATCCCCGAACGCGAGAATGCAAACTGAAAGCAAGCAGTTGTTCTCCAGGCCATAGTGCCATAGAAGTAAGGACCATGACTTGACGTTGGGTGGAATCCTTGTGCAGCTCCGCCTCTTTATATGGTGGCTAACATGTTTGTGCCTGGTAGCCTCGCAATAAGCACAGCTGCATTGGGACCTGGGCGTGCTTGTCAACAAAGAGTCGGAAAAGTAGCATCCCAAGAACAAGAAAAAGTCACAGACAGAGCTGCTGTCTTCAGTTGTGCAGATGCATGCTGCCGGCAACCTCAGGCGGAGACAAAGATGGAGAAGGTCTCGGAACGCCGACGACACGGCGTCTGGGCCGACAGGCATGGCCTCGCGCGAGCTTGCTCAGCCCTCGTGTGAGCTCTCCACAAAGACGCAGTGAACCCTGAACGGCAGAAGGGCGGCCACGACTGTCTTTGTAGGCAGCTCACCCTCAAACGCGAAGTTCTTCTTCCTCCGTAGATGGCGCGGAGGGGCAGCAGCAAGACACTGCTTCCCACATGGCCTTGGAGATCCGGAGACTTTTCGCTTCGACGGACAGTTTTGTTCAGTAGCATAGCTGAGGACACCGGCATGCACAAACCCAGCCACCGTTCTCCTCTGCCACCTGGCCTGCAAGCTGCCGGCTGGAGCCGTGAGGCATGCGAAAGTTACGGGCGATTGTGGCTAAGTGAAGCATCAGTGTTACTGCTACCAGTACATGTCATGCTTGATAGATCTGGTGCACTTCTGACCTTGCCGACGGTTACCTTCAAACTTGAAACTGAGAGAGGTCGCCCCTGTATGCGCTCAGGGACAAACAGACGAGAATTATTGCAGCATTTCTATAACCAGAAGTTCAACAAGACCGCGGGCACAGATGCACAAAAAGGAAGCAGATCAGATCTTCCTGAGTACCAGATGTGGGGGCAGGGTTTGCCAGGCCGATGCATGCAAGCAGAAAGCACGATGTGACGAATGCAAATACGCACGGAGGCAGCTTTCTTCATGCCCAGCCTTCTTGTGCACCTGCTCCACATACCAAAGGATTTCTGCGTCTGTCGCGGGGCCCTTGGCTGGATCTGATGCAGATGGGCTGGAAGCTGTCCCCGTGCGACAGTAGCCTATCTTGCTTTCAGGATTGTCAACCGACTTGGCTGCCGCACATAAGGGTCATCCAAAGGAGGAAACTTCTGCATAAAAGGCCAGGCGAAATACCACTCCGCGTGCATGTTGGCAAGCTAGAGGAGCACTGGAGCCATACGCATCGGACTTCATCGAGAAATCTCAGCAACATCCGGCAAGCAAGCTGCATCGATGGACACTGTGCAGGCACGGTAGCGGGAGGATCATTTACACACGTGGGTTAGCCCCCCTCCCAGGCCCTGCGCTTGCGCCTGGCTTCCACACTTGAGGGGCGGGGGCCAACAAAAAGCTCCGGGGCCAGATCGGCAGGCATGCCTGCTTACTGCGATTCGTGCACGGGCGCCTGCCTGCACGTTCATGTGCTGTACTGATTTTTCGAAGACATGCAACACACCTGAGTGGCGCCCCCGCATCCCTGCATGATCCTTGAGCATACTTGCTCGGGGGGGTGAGGAGGCAGCAAGCAAAGTCCGGCTTTTCTCGTTCTCCATGCATGGTGATTCCTGATCAGGCTTGCCTGATGTGGCGACGGCTTCGCTCAACGATAGACAGTGTTAAGAGGCAGCACATGTGGCGACTTCATGCTTCAACAACTAAAGAAAGTCTTGAGAGTGCGAGCGTGTGCGGGCCATGCGTGAAAAGGTTGCCATCACAGTCTCAGAACTAACACAACATCAGTCCTCCCAGAGCACACGACGTCCAAAACGAGCCCTGTGTTCTTGTAGCAAACGGAGCTTCTGTGCCATTGCTCTCTGCGTTCAACATCTTCAGCCGGTGCATCCGCCCGTGCTCCGACAGCGCCTGAGGCGCATCCACACCCAGCTCCAGCGGCTTGAAGACGTGGATCTTGGAGATGACATGCTTCAACCTGCCCTGCGCTCTCTGCGCGCGCTGTGCTGATGCCGTTGCCTTCGGTGTTGCAGCGGGTCTTGCAGCTGGCTCAAGCGGGCCTGACTTGAACACGCCACTGAAGCCTGCAGGCGGTGCAGATTGCAGAGGGCCCTTAAGGCCCGGCGATGCGCCTTTTCTTCCAGCTTTGCAAACGCGGCTGAAGCCGTCTGGCGAAGGTGGCGGGCGTCCTCGACAGAGCCCGCTACGTCCACAGCCACGGACTGCCGAGACATCAAGCTGCCAATGAGATCCACCTTGGACCCACACAGCTCGTAGTCAGAGCCGCCCTCCAGCGACGAGGGCTCCGGGTTGTCAAGATCGAAGTCGGACTCGCCGTAGAACTGCCCTAACATCCAAAAGACCTTCTCGAAATACTGTAGCAGGCCTTCGTGCTCCAGGAGGTATCGGCAGGCCCCCACATTGCCCTTCGCGATGATGGTCAGCTGCTCGGCGGACACCTTTAAGCTCGAAAAGAAGCTGTTCAGGCTGTTCAGCCGCCCCATACGCCCGGGTCCTGATTCAACATGCAACACTCTTGGCCGGAATCGGACAAACGCAGTCTATTACAAATTCCTCGGCATGGAAGAAAGCACACGAGCCATGCGTGAAAAGGTTGTCATCACAGTCTCAAAACTAACAAAACATCAGTCCTCCCAAAGCACATGATGTCCAAAACGAGCCCTGTGTTCCTGCAGCACACGGAGCCACTGTGCCATTGCTCTCCTGGTCGGTGACCTGCGATGCGTTCAACATCTTCAGCCGGTGCATCTGCCCGTGCTCCGACAGCGCCTGAGGCGCATCCGCACCCAGCTCCAGCTGCTTGAAGACGTGGATCTTGGAGATGACATGCTTCAACCTGCCCTGCGCTCTCTGCGCGCGCTGTGCTGATGCCGTTGCCTTCGGTGCTGCAGCAGGTCTTGACTCAGCGCCTTTGCTTCCAGCTTTGCAAACGCCGCTGAAGCCGTCTGGCGAAGGTGGCGGGGTCGCTGCTTGCGGCGTTGCCACCACTGCCACCACTGCTTTGTCCTCCAGTTCATGGCGAATTCAAGCAGTATCACATAAACGTCTCCACACTTGGCTGATGAAAACCCGAAATCCGGCCTTAGTCGGCATGGTCGCCATGGACCTCGCTGTCGCAGCTGCGCAGCCAGAAAGCCACCAAGCGGCAGAAGGCTTGCCACCTCAATTCATAAACAAAAAGCTCTCTGGATCACTTGGCAGCTCAAGCCTGAGGCTTCGGCGCGGTGAGCTCCGGCTCTGCTGCAGGCTCAGCCGGAGGTGACGGGGGCTCCGGCTTCATCATGATGACCACAAGTCTCCCTATTTCAAAGTTCAAAGCTCTTGCCAAAACACCGAGCCTGCATGCTCTTTGAAAAGCTTGCGATCTGCTTGTATGCGGACACACCCCTACCTCTGAACCGATCACTGCAGCGACTGCGTTCAGAGTGCCCATCGCATGATAGCTCAGCAGCCCTCCCTCACTGCTCCGGCCCTATTTGATGCACTTTGGCCGATTCTGTCACCGTGGAGAGCTGGTCGATTGGCCCAAGAGGGTACATTGGCCACGAAGTCGTCGATGCGAGGGAGGTTCCGCCAAGCAGAATAGTCGACGGACTGGATGCACACCTCGCCCCGCCGCAGAGCTTGCCGACACCTGCGACGTAGTCGCTGCTGACGACGTCCTCTGTGCGACGAGGCCGGTGACTACCACCATGGCAAGGCGGCTGTGGTTCAGCTCTTGGCACTGGACCCGCTTCCATCCGTTCCAGACCTCGGAAGGGGTAGCCCTCGTCGATGATTCCCATCCATCCGAGCGCGTCCCAAGGGCGGTCCTCAGGGGGCTTGCAGATGTAGGCGTTGAGCCACTCCAGGCGCATGATCGTGAGCCTCATGCCTCCCATGGGGGAGCTGGGTCCAGCTGACGAGGGGGGCGTTGCTCATCCTCGCCGATGGCACGGGTAACAAATGGTAGGCTGCAGCCACGAGTATCGCCACGCGACCGTGCTTCGGCTTTACGGCCCGGAGCATTGCGATCTCCTTCTCATACCTGCCGGATCCCGGAAGTTGGTGTTTGCCTGAGCATGCGGGGTCGGGCCGCCGGTCCCGGCGATAATCTCCTGTGCCGGCATCCCTCCACCCTCAAGCCAGTGTAGAAAGACCAACTGAGTCAGAACAGGCTCCCAAATCTCCCAACATACTCTGGAGTCTGTAGCTAGCATCCTGTGCAAGAGGGCCCTCAACAGATGTGCCAGGCGGCCCCGGAAACCTGGGCTGACCCCGGCAATGTCGCCGCAAGGCGAAACGAATGCCGTCGGGGATGCTTCATCGAATGATCGGGAAATCCTTTGATGACAATGGTCAGATCGTCATTGCTGTTCCTCTTGCCTCATCCTCGTGCTTCTCGCACTTGCTGGCCGGACTGTGAGGAAAACGCCCAGAAAGAGGGCTTGTCAAAAGAAGTAGCGGCATTCACTCCCTCTGGATTCTGGAAGCCCACAAATGCCGCACCTTTGGGCCAGCCGTGCGGTATGCTGACCTCTCTGCAACCCGTGAAAGGAGCCCTCAGGCTGGCTTCGTCGAAGGGAAACCCTTGACAACGACTTCCAAGTCGTCGCCTTTTCCTTGGCGTTCCCTCGCCTGCCGTTGCCATCCTTCCCCTGCTTCGGCCTGTGTTCCAGTCGCCCCATCCGCCAGAATCCCATCCATTGCCACCAATGCACTTTCCGTCAACCTTTGGGGCAATAACCCCTGATTGCTTCGGCATGCTCTGCGTCCTGTGGATGTGCGACGGATCCGGAAGCTTCGGGCCACCACGCCACCTTAGGAACCGCCGCAGCAACGCTGACACTTCTCATAGAAAGAAGAGAGCACGCACTGATTGAAATAACTTCGAGCGGCCCGGTGCTGGTGTAACCACTTGCTCCGGTTTCGGGGTCAGGAGCGGCTTTGGGATGATCAGCTGTTTCGGAGTATTCGCTGAAGGAATCCTCGGCTGTGGGTTCCTCTATATACTGCATGCAGTTGGTGCAAACACGCCGCTGGACAGTGCATCATGCGGCCGCTTTGCAACATAATGACAAAGCTACGCATGGACTGTCAGAAAGCCATCCAAAACAACCGTCGCACTCTGCCCGACGTTGAACCAAACTGAGCACTGCGACGAATCAGGACTTCTTTTTCGTCGTGTGGTAGCAGCGCTGTAGCACGCCGTTCGGCGAATCAACAGGCTGAAACGACGAGTCGGTGCCGGGGCGCATTCTGCACCCGGCCCGCTGTCGTTCGCCCTCCGCCGAAACGCGAAGATAACACTGGGCGGTGAGGGTGGGTAAAACTTTGAACTCGTCGAGCCAGAGTGCTAGCGACGGCCGTCGTTAACGGTTGTTACTGCACACACACGTGTGTTTCACAACAACCGTCGCACTCTGCCCGACGTTGAACCAAACTGAGCACTGCGACGAATCAGGACTTCTTTTTCGTCGTGTGGTAGCAGCGCTGTAGCACGCCGTTCGGCGAATCAACAGGCTGAAACGACGAGTCGGTGCCGGGGCGCATTCTGCACCCGCCGTGCGCACCGACTCTCCACCACGCGCCGGCTCAGACGTGGAAGCCGATGGCCAGCTGAAGGAGGTCGTCCGCCGCCTCCGTCGTGGCATATTCAAGGTCCTGCGCCGATCGGGCGAAGATGGATAGTATCTCGTCGGTCGGCGTAGAGACTCTGTGCCATCCCTCGGCCGTCGCCCTGCTGAAGTCGTCTCTGGAGACTGCGTCGGCGACGTTGGCCTTGGAGGGAACTCGCTCAAACTCGACGAACCACCCCTGGTGCGCCGCAAGCGTCCAGAAGGCCGAAATCATGCCGTTCACCGCGGCGTCTTTCCCGTATCCCTTCGTAAGGGCTGCCTGTCCGGCGGTGTTGTCGATGAAGGCTATAATGGCCGGCGGCAGACGGGCGCCGAAGGTGACGAAGGCGACGAGCTGGGCCAGCACTTCGAGCATGTAGATGTATGCCTTCCTCGTCGAGAAGAGCTTGACAAACCATTCCGGCGCGACGCCGTGGTCGAAGAAGACCTGGTCGCCGATGCGCAGCACGTATCCCCATCCATTCGCCGCCTTCTTCGTCGGCCGTACCCCTTGGGGCACGTGGCCGGCCTTGTGCCTGGTCTCCCCGTCGGTGAAGAAGGCGTCGGCGTACAGGATCGCGACCTCCATTTCCTTGGCGTCGAACGGAATGAACCTGGGTCTGATCGTCGGCAAGATCCTGGCCAAGGATCGTAGGGCCGCCGAGAGACCGTCGGATAGGGAGTCCGCCGTCCATGCCGATGTGTCGGCCGCTCGGGCGTAGATCGCTTTCGTCGCTGCCTTTGCGACGGATCCGAAGGCCGCTTGTGTCAGGAAGGACACTCTTCCGGCGAGCTTGGCGGCCTCGGCGGGTGACAGTGTATCCTGGTCGAGCGCCCGTCGGATCTGTCCCATGATCTTGTCTACCCGAATCGTCGTCGGTTTGAGGGTGACTCCCCGTGCGTCGACCTGGAACTGCACGCCCTGAACGATGTGGTTCTTCGCCGGGTGTTGTGCCTTCGACGCCTTGGTGAGGAAGCCCAGCGCTGAGAAGAGGTCCTGGAACGATACCATCGCCGACTCGCCGAGGAGGGCGTCGTCGAGGCCGTTAAAGTCGTCCACGTAGTGACCCGTCGCCAGCAGCAGCAGTCCCCTGAGTAGCTGCTGAAGTGCGTCGGCTCCCCTGTTAAAGTTCCAGACCGACGCCGTAGCGCCGAAATTCATGGCCAGGTGGTACCAAAAGGTCACGCCGTGCTTGGTCGAGAGGAAGGTGCCGCACTCCGCCGGTCGTCGAACTGGCCACTGGCGGTATGCGTTGAGCAGGTCGTTGCCAAAGACCACGACGTCGGGGGTGTCTTGAACCATGCGTCGTGCCAGGTCGACGAAGCTGCCGATGAAGTGGTGTGTCGGCACGTCGTCCACCGAGACCGTGGCGTTGTGCCCGCTGCGACGCCAGTCCTCGGCACGTCGCACCTTTAGGTCGCCTTTCTCGTCGGTCTGGCAGACTGGGAAGGACCCTGCCAGGAAGTGTTCGCCGGGCGGCGGTTCGACCAGGGAGTCCACCTCGATCTGGTCGGGCACCGCCGTGGCCTTGGTGTGCAGCCATGTCGGCGCTGTCGTTGGGCCGATGACTCTGCCCAGCTTCTTCTCGGCGATGAGCTCCTGGAGCAGCTGATCGGTGAATTCACCGCCGTCGTGCTGGGAGACCTTGCGGCGGACGTACTCTGCGTTGGTCCGGCGGAAGGTGTCCATGTCCGTCGGGTGCTGGTAGCGTCCGTCGTCCCTTTTCCTCCATCCTGGTCCTGGTCGGATGTCGCCGATCATCTGGAAGCCCTCCGTCATGTCGTGTTCGAGGGCGTCGATGTCGGGGTAGTCGACGAGGCGGAGCAGCTGTAGGAAGACGAGCACCTGCGTCGGGGCCGGCTTATCCGGCGTCGAGTACGTAGCTCTGACCCACGACGATCTGGCATCCAGCCACTCCCTGGTCTCGTCGGCTGTGTCCTCGATCATGGTGCGGACCTCGTCGACGACTTCCCTTCGGATCCTGACCAGATCGTGTCGCCAAGTTCGACGAATAACCAGGAGTCGTTCCCACGACGGTTCCAACGGGGCGTCGTCTGCCAGCGGGTGTGATATCGACCATGATGCGTCCCAGTGCGCCTGCTCGTCGAGGTCCTGGATGTACGCCACACCTGTCCGCGGCGGAGCTGGCGCCATGATCGGACCGCCGGGTCCCCACAACGAAGCCACCCACTGCAACGTCGATCGGCTAGGTGATCTTGGCACTGGGGTCGCCGTCGTCGGTGCCGTGGCTGTGAAGACCAGCAGCGCTAAAAGAAGACGTCGTGCGACTCCCCAGTGCCAGCCGTTACCGATGAGGCGATGTCGAGTGCGGTCGTCGAGTGCTCCGGCGGTGGATCTCGCCGTGTAGTCGACCGGCATGTGGTGAAGCTGCTCTTTCACCTTCGGCGGCAGCAGATGTAGTCGACCTTGGTCGTCGGTCATCATGGCGTCTCTGGCGTAGTGCCACGGCGCGAATTGCCGTCCGCCGGTGAGCCACCGCTGGTGGGTGTCCGACGTGATCTTTCCTCTCGTCGACCTTGGTGCGGCTCTGCCTCCCTCGTCGGCTGCTGGTGTCGTCGCACATGGCAGCCTGACCCTGCCACTGGCGACGGAGTCCGAGAACTTGAGGCCGTCGAGGTCGAAGTCGTCGGCTGCTGCCCTGGGAGAGTCCAGCCGCAGCCTGTTCCAGCGACGGTGTAGAGCCCATGTCCAATGTTCTCCCGTCGAGGGGTCGCGAGGCAGCTCCTCCCAGTCGATCGTCGACCACCAGAGGCGGGACCTACCGATCCATCCGAAGTCGGCGGCGTCGGAGAGGATGGGCTCGCACTCCAGTGCCTTGGTGGCCGCCGCCGCGTCTGCCTGCGTCATCTCGACGTTTTCGACCAATTTCCCAAGCCGTCGAGGTGCTATCAGCGGCGTCAGCTCGGCGACGTACTCAGCAGTAAAGTTGAAGAGGTAGCCTCTATCACCGCCGTGACCCGCTCTGTCGCCGATCCTGGAGAAATCTTGGCACGGCGGGGCGGCGAGAAACAGGATGATGCATTGGGCGTCGGGGTCGACCGCCTCGATGTCCTTGGCCAGGTCCTTCGGCGTGTCCTCCGTGATGTCGCCGCGGTGCCGGACGTCGGGGATGTGGTAGTCGATGACCTGGATCGCCGCTCGGTCCACCTCCCATGAGAAGACCGCTCTAGGCCGGCCCACCAGGTCCCACACCAGCCACGGGCCCGCGCCGACGCCGTCGAAAGCGGACAGCACGATCACCTCGTCGCCTTTGGGTCGCCGGCCTGAGAGCTTCACCTTCTTGGTCGGTGGGTCGGGTACCCCGTCGTCAGCGGGGGCGTTCGACGGGGCCCCGTGCTGTCCCTAGCGGCGGTTGCCGCGGCCTTGGCCATTGCCGCGCCACGGGCGTTGGCCTTCTGGCTGGCTGGACTGTCCGCCGTTGCCGCCGTGCCACCACTGTTGGTTCTTCCCGTCGGTCTTCTGCTGCCACCAGCCGGCGTTGGTGTCCTGCTCGTTCTTCTTGCCGCCGCCCTGTGATTGATCCTTGCCGCCGCGTCCGCGCCCTCGGCCCCGGCCCCCTTGGCGCCGTCGTTTGCGGCCACCGCGACCGCCGCCTCCGGTCCATGCCTGCTGGTCGTCGGCGTCCTCATCCTGGCCGTTGGGGGCGTCGGTGCGGTCGGTGATCTCCTTCTCGGTTCTCTTGGTCGGGTGCGGCGTGGACAGGAGGATCTCCTGCCACGTGGCCACGTCGTCCATGATCTCCTTGGTGGTCTCGCCGAAGGACCGGTTGTTCCTGAGTGCCATCGCCAGGTTCCACGACGTCCGCTGCCAGTATGCCTGGAGGGCTGCGACGTGGTTGGACTTATCCCTGGCGCGGGCGACGAACCAGTCGACATATGTCATGACGTCGGTCTCCTCGCCGATGCCCAGCAGGATCCATGCCCATCGGGCGGCGTTGGCTCCGTCGATGGTGGAGAAGAGGCCTTTGGGCACCCATTCCGTCGGCTCCGCCTCCGTCAGGACGCCCTGCTCCAATTTCAATGTCTTGGAGCTTGCCGACGACGTCGCCCTGGCGAGCGCCAGGGGATTAAGGGTCCGGCCCGCCGTCCAGGTGCGTCGGGACACGATCTCGCCGAGGGTAACCGGCGTATACATCTTGGAGGTGGTGTGCTCGAACCACATCCTGGCCAGCACCTCCTCGGCGCCAAGAAGCTCATGTGCTGGGAAGGTCCGCCGTTTCCCGTCGAGGCGCCGTTCCTCGTAGATGTTGATCTGCTGGTTCCACGCCGAGAAGGTCTTGGGAGGCTTGTCAGGAATAGCCGGCGTGGCCGTCGTTGGCGGCGCCGCCGCCGGCGCAGGTAAGGCCGCCGGGGCTGGAACCGGCGCCGCTGAAGCGGCC